TTCTTGTGGTCACACATTTCATAGTAGTTGCATATTAGGCTGGCTGACATATGGGTCTCTTAACTACCCAGATTGTCGAGTAGTCATAAGATCAGAATAGTTTAGGCATTAATCACTACAACAACAAAAAAAAAGTATCAATTTTGTTACCGGGAGGTCTATTTCTCCTTCCCCTCTCGTTCTAGTAAGCTTCATTCTTTTCTTTTCTCGTTCTTTCCATCTAACTTTGCCAACAACCAAGTCAAACCCTACCCCTGTATTGGACATGTCACTCGTCCAACTCGGGGAATCTCCATCTCAAAGTCAAGGGGTAGCAGAAATTTGGATTATAGTGTGAATAATCATGCTGCATTATTAGTTCAGACCCGCAGGTCAGCATGAGGACATTCTTCGACTTTTAAGTACAAATTACGTTTTGATTTGCATCATCTGATTGTTTTGTTTTTGTAGTTTCATCTCACAATTATATTTTACAGGATCACTTAAAGCTCTCTTAGCTTTAAGAGGGGATCATTTGGAAGGACGCGGCCCAAGCTAGCAAAGAAAACTAGTACTGCAGACCTTGGTAGAGAAGTTAACATTGCTGTTTATATTTTATTTATTTTTTGGTTACTTAGTAGTGAGCAAGCGATTTTTACAAAGACTCTTGTATAAACCTGGACATGCATTTTTCCACTAGCACAATTCATTTAACATCCTCCCTTTTCCTTATATTCATTTCTTTCTTATTGATTCCTTTTGTAATTTTGAGCTGTTACATTACAAAAAAATGGAGAAACGCAATAATTTTGCTTCTTCTTCTTATTCTGTACGAATGTTTGCTTCTTCTTCATCATCTTTGTTTTCGGGTCCTAATGATATTTTATAAACAATCATTGCCACAGAATATCCTTGATGTTCCTCCCGCTCTCTGTACAACTGTTGCAAATATATATTTAGTAGGAGAAGACAAAGGAGAAGTTAGCGAAGGAAGTAACTCTACGTATATAATTCACCAGGAACTTATTACAAGGATATAAGAAAGAGTAAGCTACCCAGTTAAAGCTAATGTGAAAAAGGATGAGCTGTCCGTGTGCTTAACTTACTTCAAGGACTCAAAAGCAATAAAAGTAGTAGTACTACTAAGTAGTAGTAGTATATATTTGAACCAAAAGAAAAAAGAAGAAGAAGGTAGTGGTATAATAACTAAATGTGTAAATAATCAAATTGGTACTTAAAATCGTTGAATTGTTTAGTAACTTCCAAATGATTTTATTGTGATATAGTTTCAGCTCTCCCGGATATAAATAAATAAATTACTTGAAAGATTCAGCTTTAATATTAGGAAATAAAAATGTCGTGAATAAATTCATTAACTAATCAATTGATAAAGTGATAATTTTAACCCAACTCACTTGGTAAATAGTAAATACATTCTCGTTTTATGTGTAGTAAAAGAAATAAAAAAAGTGATGATTTTACTATTTTGTTAATTAATTTCGAAACAGTAATTATAATAAAAGAAATTTACACCAAATCAAGATTGACAATAATTCAAAGTTAAAATTCAAGATTATTTATGATGATAAAGTACTCAAAAACAAAAGAGGGGCCTAACAAGATATTTGACTGGACGAATAGATTTTAGAAAAGAGGAAACTATGCTAACTACCCACTAAACCTAAAATAATTAGCCGGTTTTACTCATTTTAATAATAATTACTATACCTACCTAACTTAACTAAAATTATTACCTGTCCCCCCATTTTTCAATTGCCTTACCAACCTCTCTCCTCCTTAAAGCTTCCCTTTTCCCTTTCCCTTCTTCCCGTTTCTTCTTCCATCAACAAAATACTATCTCCGTCTTACATATCTCATGTTTTCTTGTAGTGTTTGTGTTTGTTCGAGTCATGCCCAGTTTTTTATTGTGATTTGGATAAGTGAGATTTGATATGGTTTAATGATAAGCTAAATAGCTATTTTGTATGTGCAGTGTTACCAATAATTATTTCTAATATCTTTTGAGAAGTTCATAGTGATTTATTGTAAGAAAATTAGATCAACCATTGAAAGACCTTGAAACTTGAAAATCATAAATTGCATTTGTCGAGTTTGTAATTGTTTGATTAAATTTTGACTGGCGTGTGATTAAAATATCGATTGGCAACTGTAACCAAATGTTGAGTCAATTTGGTCAAGATTTGGAGTAAATTTTTAGATTTTGAGTCGAAATTGAGTTGATGTAGCAAAAAAGAATTTATATATTGTTGCTAAATTTTTAGTCAATTTGCTAGATTTTTAAAATTTGGGTTGTTATTGAGTTGATTTGTAGATTGTACCTTTGATGCAGATTTTTGGAGATTTATTACAAAAATTTAAATCCACAGTTGAAGGACCTTGAAACTTGAAACTCATAACTTGGTTTGTTTGAGTTTTTAATTGTTTTGATCCAATCCTATATGGACTTGTTTGGAAAGTTGATTGGTGGTTGTAGCTAAAGCTTTAATCAATTTGGTGGAGATTTTGCCGTAGATTTTAGAAATTTGGGTTGAAATATAGTTGAACCAGAGAAAAGATGAATTTGTATTGTATATCCAAATAGAATACAAATATACCGTTTCGGTATACAATTCATTCCAACTATATCCCTATTAGTATAGCTATATACTATATTGGTATCATATACTAGTTGAATTATTTTTTGGTTGTATTAGCTGTATTTGATTGGTACACTATTTGATTTTTTTTTAACAATAGTAATAAAGTACAATATCTTGAAACACTTTATTATATTAATATGTGGTACAGGATTTTTTTATTTTTCTCGTTATGCATGTGTGTTATGTAATAGTGGTGTAGTCATATAGTTGCCGGGAGTTAACCAGTAAAACTGTATACCATATTGGTATAGTTATATACCATATTGGTATCATGTGGTAGTTTGAACATTGTTTTGGTTGTTTTAGCTGCATTTTAAGTGAATTCTATTATGAAATTATTTAAATGAACATGATTTGCAGTGCTGGAATTTTTATGTGCCGATGGACATAAATTATATGTATTATGTAATAGTTTTTATAGTTATAGGTAATTGTTGGAACGACCCCTTACAACTATATAACATGTTAGTATACGGAATGAGCAAGTTGTTTTGCGTATATTTAGCTTGCAATACGAGCATGTAATTTTCTCATACTTTTATTGCGTCCTTTAGTATTTTGGTACAGATAGTTATAACAATATTCTAGAGCAATCATATGCTCTGTTGGTATACATGTATACCATTAATATCACATAGTACTAGAAGTCTTTTTTGCTACTTAGGACCCGCTTGGCCATGAGTTTTGCCAAAATAAATTTATTTGGCAAACTCGTGTTTGGCCATATGCCCATATTTTGGCAAAATTCCAAATCCCAAAATCACCTCCAATTGCTGATTTTGGGCCAAAATCCAAAACTTGAGAATTATATACACGTTTTTCCAAAATAAAGTTGGGAAATATGTTTTCAAAATGTATGTCCAAACACATTTTCATCTTCAATCCAAACTTCACCCAAATCAGATTTTTTAAAACAAATTTGGGAATCTATGGCCAAACGCTAGCTTATACTTTTATTGCATTTTTCAATATTTTATTGTCATTTTTATTCTAACTAGTATATATGGAGATTTGGTTGCCGTAGATTATGTTTTCTTGCTCTATAACTGGTTGTATCTATCTATAATTAAAAGCTAAAGAAAAAGGCCTCTCATGAAGCCAAATGGCAGCACAATAAAATTACACATGGCATATTAAGACATTGGTCCTAATTTGTAGGAAGTAAAATTCAAACAATTCATCAGTCCAAACCGTTCCAACTTCTGACCAATTTTAAAATTTTCAAATTTTTTTCATTTATTAAATCATTGAATTTCGAAAAAACATTGTATTTGTAAAAAAACCGCCGCCTACCTCACAAATAGGAGTGGATTTCAAAATCTTTTAGATCAAAACCGTTCTAACTCCTCTCAATTATCTCAATTTTTAATTTTTAAAAATTATTAAAACAATTTATTAGTTAAAACCTCCTAATTTTTAGGAAGTAAATTTCAAACCATTCATGAGTCCAAACCGTTCCAACTTCTGTTCAATTTTAAAGTTTTCAAATTTATTTCAATTATCTTTGCTNTCGAATATGCAATGGAAGTTGAAAGTTCGTGTTGTTCGTTTGTGGGAAGTACCGGATCGTTTCAATCCAGGCAGTATATTGTCGATTGAATTGGTTTTACAAGATGAAAAGGTATTTTACATATGTTATATGATTATTTGTTTTTGATGCATAAATTTACTCTGACGAGTTTCTTCACATTTGCCTGTAAATTGCTATGTACTTCTTCTCGATCTTTATATGCTGTAAACATAAATAGGCTACATTAGTAATTGCTACTTCAAATTGTTTAACAAACTGTAGTATACATGAGTTAGGCTGCACTCTGCAGCAAAGTATTTTTCGAAAGCAATGGGAGGAAAATCCATCTCCTTCAAATGATCCTCCCTTCTGAATTGCATATGATCTGAATATTCCAATTAAGATGAAAAGGTATTTTAAATATGTTTTTGCCTTGCTAATTCGATTTATTTTTCGGAATTGTTATATGATTATAGATACATTTGTTTTGCTCCTCGAAATTGTTCTATGATTTTATCATACAACCAACTGCTATCATTACAAGTTGCAAAGTGCAGTATACTCTGTGCAGTCCTACATGTTATTAGATTTGGTCGTGAACTCTGCTCCAAATCTGGAATTTTTCCAGATTTACTGTCACTTATTAGTTTNATTTACGCTTGCAACTTATGAGCGATTAATTATTAATATATTTTGATTGAAACATAATCGATGTAGCCTTCCAATAAAGTAAAGTAACATTAATTTGCTTTTATTATTTCTAAAGGAAATCATTTTGCTCTTTTCTTTATATGACTCATGGAAACTAAATATTTTTATCATTAATTAATTAATTATATACTTTTGTTATTTTAGAGGCTGAGCTAACAAATGATGAATTAAAGAATCGTTGTCTACAAAAGTTGAAAAATTTGTTGAAAGGTTGCGGAAGAACGTTATACGATTTTCCAACAATGCCAACACCGGTTTTCAATGAAGAAGAATTTGACAACACTAATAGACTAATCTGCGAAGAACTACGTTATAATAGGTGCTCTTTGTCTAAGGAACATGAAGAATTATTTGCTAAGTTGACAATTGAGCAAAAGTTAGTTTATGACAGAATTATCAAATCAGTGCATGAGGAAAAAGGTGAATTCTTCTTTTTATATGGTCATGGAGGAACCGGGAAGACATTTATTTGGAGGACTTTGTCTTCAGCCATAAGATGTAAAGGAGATATTGTGTTAACAGTTGCATCAAGCGGAATTGCGTCTCTTTTGTTACCAGGAGGTCGAACAGCTCATTCTAGATTTGCAATCCCACTCAATGCAAATGAAGATTCAACATGTAATATCACTCAAGGTACTCCTTTATCAAAATTGATTGTCAAGACAAAGTTAATTATTTGGGATGAAGCACCAATGATGCATAGATATTGTTTTGAAGCTCTAGACAGAACTCTAAGAGATATTCTTAGATTTAAAGATGCATCTAATTTAGATCGTCCGTTTGGAGGAAAAACTGTTGTTCTTGGTGGTGACTTTAGACAAATACTTCCAGTCATTCCAAAAGGTACTAGACAAGATATTGTTAATGCTACCCTTAATTCTTCATATTTGTGGAATCATTGTCAAGTCCTAAAGCTAACAAAAAATATGAGGTTGGAAGGAAATCTGGAGGATTCACATTTGAATGATCTAAGACAATTTTCTGATTGGATTTTAGCAATAGGTAATGGTATGATTGGAAATTCTGTTGATGGTATCGATAAAGTTCAGATCCCTTATGATCTTATCATCAATAATTGTGGCGATCCAATTTCTGCGATTGTGGAAAGTACATATCCAGATTTTTTAAGTCATTGCAGTGATATAACATACCTGCAACAAAGAGGAATTCTTGCTCCCACTCTTGACATGGTTGAATCAATCAACGAATACATGGTTTCAGTAAACAAAAGTCAACCAAAAATATTTTTTAGTTCCGATACAATTTGCATGTCAGACGATGCTTTTACAGGTTTGGAACACATACATACACCTGAATTTCTAAACACTATTAAGTGTTCTGGAATTCCAAATCATGTTATCACTTTGAAAGTGGGTGTCCCAGTTATGTTATTGAGAAACATAGACCCATCTTCAGGGCTATGTAATGGAACAAGATTAATCATTACTAGACTGGGAAATCGGGTTATTGAAGCAAAAATTTTATCAGGAAATATGGCTGGACAAAAGGTCTTCATTCCGAGAATGTCATTAACTCCATCTGATGCAAAAATACCTTTTAAATTCCAACGAAGACAATTTCCAATAGTTGTATCGTTTGCAATGACGATAAACAAAAGTCAAGGACAATCTTTATCTCATGTTGGGTTATATTTGAAAAAACCGGTATTCACACATGGCCAGCTTTACGTTGCTCTATCACGGGTTACAAAAAGAAAGGGATTAAAGATTTTGGTTTATGACGATGATGGAGAAATTTCAAATGAAGTAATAAATGTGGTTTACAAAGAGGTTTTCCGTAATTTACTAGGACAATGAAAGCAAATCTGATACATTTTAGCAACATTTTTGGTTCTCATGCTTCAGTCTTTGCTAAACCATATTGTTAAAAAACTTCAGAAACAATAGTTGACAACTTCATTAGGTATGCTTAACTGCTTTTATTTTGTTTCCTTATTTTAAATTGTCTAATTATTTTAAGCACATTGCTTATCTGGCTGCTAACAAGATCTTGGTGTTGCCAGTTGCTGCCTTCAAAGTTATTAATACTCGATCATACACCAGAAACAAACTTGCAATGCAGGAATGTCATTTATGTGCCTCGACTATGTATCTCACTTCTATTTAAACGTACGTTTCTGCCGCTCCTTTTCATATCTTCTTATTATTTAGTTGTGATTGCCGTAATTGGCAGATTTGATTTCTCTGTCCTTTTGATGATAGAACACTGAATTCCCCACAGAAAGCATTTCACCAACACTTATTATCTCAGAAGAGCAATTCTAATTGTAACAGGCAACAATCATGTTGGACAGCATGGGTTCCATCGAAAACTCAGCCAATTTATCAGCCAGTTTAGTTAAGTTACCCTCCACTTTGAGGGCACCGAGCGCAAACAACAGCTCCACGACTTTAAGTAGATCTTCAGTTGGTGTACTCTCCATGAAGTAAAATTTCATCAACTGTTTAATCCCTTTAGTAAGAGCACTACTTTTGCAATTTTTCTCCTTTTAATTTTTGAAACTGTGTTATTTTCCAAATCTTTTATGCAACTATGTGCAGTTTATAACAAGAAGCACTTTCCTATAGCTGTTCGTCCTGATCGACCAGCACGTTCGTAGGCAGACGCCGTGTATATGGGAGCGACCATTAGTTGAGGAAATGAGTTGTCTCCTAATATGCAGAATAAGGTTGGTGGCAGTTGCTACACATAAGTTTATTGCAGATGTTGCTACTGATGCTCTCCGGTATATTATTCTGTATCTTTCTGATTCATTCCCCCCCCCCCGTCCCAACCCCCAACCACCACACACGAAACTTAACTTAAGTAAGACTGCTAATACTTCAGTCATATTACGTGTAC